TAGTCGGAATTTCGATACAGTCGGGATGTCGGTTGTCGGGCTTTCGATATAGACCAGATCTCAACATACACTGAACTTGTAAAAACCTCCACATAATGATATACCAGTATCATCTTGTTACAAGCATACGCACAGTCTCAGAGCAAAGATCTTAATAATTATAAAGATCTAGAGGGTCTACCCAAAACCGAAAAACATGGCAAGGGGTCTACGACACAAAAAAGTTTGAGAACCTCTGATCTAGATCAACGAATCAATCAACAGCAAATGTTTACGTATCTACTTTGTATATTAAATAAGTAAGTAAAGTACATTAGGTTTTGAATATCTGTGTTTACTTATTCCTTCCACATTTCCACTACCACAAAGATTAGGAAGAGTTAAACATTGCGACGAATGAGACAACCAAAAAGGGGAAAAGAAAAAAAAAAACGTTGTTTTATTTATGTGAAAGTCAGAAGCGGATTGTGTAAGTAACGAGGATGTGTTTGTTATCTGAACGCATGTAAAATGGGGCACTAAAGATGATAGGGTGAAACGAAACTGACTGGGAGGGTCTGTCGCATCATCCCGCATCGCCGTCGTCGCGTCGCGGCCACCGAAGAGGTTGAAGAGATGTGTATTTTTTTTGTCTTCATACCATTGCACTCTTGAACCTTGTTTACATGCGAAGGTATATTAGAGGCCAAGTGCTGTCGAATGATCATTAACAATCGGTACCATCCATCCTTCTATCCAACTACCACCACAACCCGCCCAAAAACCTACAGCAGCAGCGGGGTGCAGATGAACAGATGACGATGGCCGAGGGGTGTATTTTAATATTTGCTCACACAAAAGGCGCCATTCGCTTTTAGATAAACAATTAACCGACCACTTAACGAATTCCCCCCCAAAGAAATGCGGACGGGCGCCAACCGCATTCACCAAACACGAGTTTACGTAAACACACACACACACTTTCCACAGGTTAATTTGATAAAAACCTACTGATTATTTACGTGCCGTTTTTCACCTGTCTCTACACACATATACTCTAAATACCTTTCAAATCTGACATTAAAAAGTTTTACAAAATTAGCTGTCTTATTAATAATATTAATAAACACAAAGTTTTTAATAAAAGTCAATATTTCTTAATATTGTCTGTAAAAACAGGACATCGTGAACGTTACGTAACGTCAATTTTACAAACAATTTATATTATACGTTAGTATGTTTTTGCGACATTTGATCTTTCCTTTGCTTCTGAAGTCAACTCTTTAATAATTTACAACCTATTCATTAAAATGTTTCTGTTATTTATATAAATCATGATTCATTCTATTTCCTTACCTATTTACTTAATATGTACGCTTTCATATTCTTGTTTATTTAACAGTTTCATTATTTATGTATTTAATTTTTCATAGTCAAAACAATTTTCGTTTATTTCATATAATTTATGAATATTTTTTTGTAAAACAATTTCAATTAAAAAAAAACTTTTTTCTGATATTTTACTTAATAATTAATGTTACTAAGTAATTAACAAATTAATAAAGTATTTTAAGAATAATGCAGAACAAATCTTATCTATTTGAGCTATAATAGCAGACGCGTCGTTGCCAAATTTATAAGTATGTGGAGCCATCTCTGTACATACGTAAAATCACCAACATAATTTGAAATATTTGTAATAGTTTTAATTATTAATTAATTCTCACTAAAAACTGCATGCGAAACATTGTTAAATATATATTGATTTTTTGATATTGTATGAGTTTAAATTATTTTGAAAATCTATGCTTTCATCGAAGCTCTTGACTACAGCTGTATGCAATCTTTATAGTCGCAAATTTGGGTTATATTTTCGCGAGGAAGATTGGTTGCCGCAAGTATAAACATTTGAAGACCTGGGACCTCTGCAGGTGTATGTTAGACATAGCGAAGAGGAGGCAACGTGTGGAAGTTTGGAAACTTAGTTTTTGTTTGTTATATTATGAACAAAGCGCGAATCTATTATGTGAGTATACCGTCTTTTTTTTCATATTTTAATAACCTCGTTCTTGAGCTGCGTAAGTTACATTCAAATTATTCCACTTGAATTGAGTTTAGAGCTTCGGTTAATGTTTGATGATGGAACGACCGTTACATTTTTTTTTAAGACACACCATGGATCGTTTTCCTTCTTGTAGAGGATTTCAATAAACTGTAGAAATGATTAAATTGTATTGAATTTAAGATTACGTTTCAGTTCGACGTGAAAATACCTAGAGACGTTCTCGACCTTTTGGACTTTTTCGAGAGAGTCGGCATGGCACCAAGAACGCGAAGACGTTGCAAAAACCCATGGGGCAATTGCACCCTGGGCGAGCTTATCAGAGATGCAATACGCTCTACACCCTTACAGATGATGAACGTACACGAGATCCATCGCTGGCTGGCCGCGCGTGTGGATTACTTCAAGGAACCGGCATGTAGACTGGCCAGCATCAGGAATAGCCTTTGCGCCCAGAAGCGCTTCCTAAAGGCGACCAACGGGAAAGTCGACAAGGTCATGTGGATGATCAATCCGTGCGGCAAGTTCGGTGGTAAAATTAAGGTTGAAGAGGCGGTACAAATCAAGATTGAAGAGGTGATCAAAGATGAAGAGGTGAATAGGAAGCCGAGACGCAGTTCCAGGAGGACGAAGAACAGAGCGAGCAGGGAATTCCCATGGCCGACTTTGGATAGGATCGACTACAGTATGTTCTGCAGAAATGCCAATGATGATAATCGGTTCTTAAAGGACGAAGTCAAGCGCAGAGAGGAAGAGGCGGAGGATGCGACTGCTCTTAGGAAGATGTTACCATGTGTAGAATACTCACCGGAGGATGATCCCAAGGTGATCTTAGACGTCAAATGCGAGGATTACTCGGATCTGGACCGCATCACGTTTTCCGATGAAATCAAGGAGCTGCAGATGGACGATGTTGAATTCAAATATGCGCTGCAGGATATTCAACTTCCTGACAAGGAATTCGAAGAGTTGTACACGCTCGACGAAATCCACGAGGTCATCCAGACAGACATCAAGAATCCTAACTACTTAACTAATCTCCTTCAATGAAACCATCTATGTACCTAAGATATATATCATTAATCAATATTTTAATAAAAAAGCAATTGTGATATTAATACCCTCTTGTTTCAATGATTTGTCCCAAACTCTACAATTTGATTCCAAATTAGTGAGCTTACTTGTAGTTCCCACTCATAAATCTCAAACATATCTAAATAGTAAATTTATATAAAAATGCTCATTATTTTCTATATATTCAATTTGTTCAAACACATTTTAACTGTTTCATCACTAAAACTTCTCCAATTCTTTTCAATAAAATTCACAAATTTACTTTTCAAAATTTGTTTAGTTAAATGTCATTACTCAATTTTTAGCACACTCTGATTTATTAATCTTTTGTTTCTTGTTTAAATTTGTTACCTTTTGATTTAACACCCTAGTACCAACTCATTATATAAATATATATTAATAACATGCCACCAACTATTCAAAAACAAAATGTAATATTTAAATTATTAAAATTCTCTCATTTTTTTCAAATTTATTCATACAAATTTTGTAACTTTGCAAATCTTGATTAGCCTGTACTAAGTTTATTCTTTTTAACACTTTAAAATTATTATTATTAGCTTTGTCGTACTTTATTCCAATCATTGTCTAAGTTTAATAGAAAACGATAATATTTCAAAACTTTCAAATAAGATTTAAAAGTTTATTATAGGCAACTAACATTGCACTACTGAAAGTATATAAAATTACGTTAATTAATTTTAATTTATTAATTAATAATGGAAAATAATTAGTTTTTTCATTATAAAAATGTTATTGTATAAAATTTTATAAATAAATGACAATATTTAATTGATATTAATATTTATTTTGTGATTAATTTAAGTATAAGTTTATTTAACTATTATTTATCGTAAATATGTTTAAATGTTAAGAAAAAACATGAATTTAATCATTGTTAAACAAATTTAGGGCGTTTTTATTTTATGTTGTGGACTTTTATTATAGGCAACTAAATTTGCAAGTAAACCATTGAAACACTTTTAAACTTCTTTTAAAATAAAGTTTAATATTAATAAAACTTCGCTGCAATAGTTTAGGATTGAAAAATAATAGTTTTTAGTTATTATAAGGTTTAAATTAGTTTAATTAAAGAAATGCAAACTTATACTTAATATTTAATTATTAATATTTGTTATACCAATTAATAACTTGTAATTGCTTTATTTTTTTTAATTAAATATTTTATTCTAATTAATTGTTTAATTAAGTAAACGAATCTAAAGATTATCCAATAGGAAACCCATTAGGATTAGAGTTGACAGATGATGACAGTAAATATTGCATTCTATTGAAGCTTTGCAGAACTACCTTTTATTGTATAAAATTTTATAAATAAATGTCAATATTTAATTAATATAAATATTTATTTTGTGATTAATTTAAGTATAAGTTTGTTTAACTATTATTTATTATAAATATGTTTAAATGTTAAGAAACAAAACATGAATTTAATCATTGTTAAACAAATTTAGGGCGTTTTTATTTTATGTTGTGGACTTTTATTATATGCAACTAAATTTGCAATTACACCATTGAAACAATTTTAAACTTCTTTTAAAATAATGTTTAATATTAATAAAACTTCGCTGCAATAGTTTAGGATTGAAAAATAATAGTTTTTAGTTATTATAAGGTTTAAATTAGTTTTATTTAAGAAATGCAAACTTATAGTTAAGATTTAATTATTAATATTTGTTATGCCAATTAATAACTTGTGATTGCTTTATTATTTTTAATTAAATATTTTATTCTAATTAATTGTTTAATTAAGTAAACGAATCTAAAGATTATCCAATAGGAAACCCATTAGGATTAAAGTTGACAGTAAATATTGCTATCTATTGAAGCTTTGTAGAACTACTCAGTATATTGGCAGCACTGTCCTATAAATGTCAAAAACAATCTGTTTGTCAAAACAGAGCGAGTGTTTTCCTTTATTTTGAAAATTCTTTGTGATTTTATATGAAAACGACGAGGAAGAGAACCCAGACAACATGTGAGCACCGCTGCATAGCATAATTGGATACACTCGTTAACTACCTGACCAGTTGTGTTGCTCTTCAACTGCAATCAAACAGCAGCAAAGATCCTGTCTCAACACACAAATATTATACCAGTATAAAGTACCCAGCAGTGTCTGCTACAAGGTAAGAAATCTGGATCAACTGTCATAACCTCAGCATTTATAATTATAAATTTTGGGAGACAGCATTCATTCGTATGCCAAGAAAAGATCTGCTGTGTTTCACAACATGTCCATCTCTCTTAACTTGTGTTAAAACAAACATGTTGTCACGTTTATTCCACAGTGGAACATTCTAAAATCCCACACTTTCAATTTCAAACAAATGTTTATAATCAATTGTTTATTATTACTTTATTTCAGCACTCCTTTGTTTTCTATTATTATAACGTTTGTTTATTAACCATTTGATCCAATTGTAATTTTACAGGTATTTTTTTTTTAAACATTCTTAATTGATTCTTATTGGATATGTGTAATTTTAGGGATGGGATTCTTATTTATATACCGTGTTTACCGTCAATCAAGGCTTTGTCACTTATGTAACGCTTGATAATTTATTTTTAGAACGTCCCCAGAGATATTTTCATTCTTCTATGTATCGATTCGTCACTTGCTGACCAATGCATTTTGTGATTTTCTTTACGCTTGATCAATTCAGTTTCAAAACGATTTCTATGTTTGATACATATATATGCAACCAAATCTACAAATTTTATCAAATCTGCAGTCAATGCTCAACTTAGAACTGATTCAGTCAGATGATTCATAGATTTTACCTAGTTTCTAAGGATTGGCTACGAATTTTAATTGAAATGTTATTCTATATAAAATATACAATACATACTGAGCAGATTGGTTTTCCCAACATTAATAACAAAAAAAGCTAGTTTCTAAGAATTTGCTACGAGTATAACAATAACAAATGTGGCAAATATTTAAAGAATTTGCAATTTATTATATATTTTAGTAAAGGTTTTTAGTAAATTTAAACGAGAAAATTTGTATACAAAAATTTCAAATTTTCTTCAACGTTTTTTTTTGTTACAATTTTAATGAATAATAATCATATAATTATTTTCCTCATAATTTTAGGTAATTATACTATTAAGTTTTCTTATTCCATAATTTAATACAATTGAAATTTTTCTTTTGTTGTTCAAAATTATATAATGAAAAATGAAAGACAAATCCAAATTGAGATATAAAATATCTTTTGGAAAACAATGGCAAAATATTTGAAAATAAATTTGTTCAAATATATACACCACAATTTCAAATTTGACTGATTATTACAGAAGATAGGTAAATATGAATAGGTTCATTAGAAAGTACATAATTTTTTCTTTAAATTTTCATAAATTTTAATCTAGTGATCTTACGTGGTTATCGAATAATTAAATAAAACGTGAAGACGTGAAACAAAATTGAATAATCATCATATCTGAATCATTAATTAATAATACATAATGATTATTATATCAAAAGATGCACAATTAAAGACACCTTCTTATGTATTAATGAAATATATATAAAATTGTTTATAATTTTCTAGTTAATTAAGCAAAAATCTTAATGGAATATATGAAGAATTTTTTTAATCTCCAATTTTATATTAAAGCATTAATATTTTTTCATTGAATTGCTGAAATTTAACTGAATTGAACGAAATTCGTTAGAATTCTATTTCCCAAATCCATGACCTACAAATCGCAATTCGTTACGAATATCCCAAAACAGACGTAAAGTTATGTACGCTTTTCTTGATAAACGTCTTGATGATTTGATGATCTACGTATTAGTTCAGTGTTTACAGACTCTTTCCTCGCTTCCTCTCTCTACCTACAGATGATAAATCTTCGGTAAACAGTCATTATTAATTTAACTAGGAATGGCAATTAGCCTTATCTCCCGCTTTGCCATTTATGCCTATACCTGTGCGTGTGTATATGTACAATGAAGCGGTATCATGTTTGTTTTCGTTGTGTAAATGTGCTGAAACGCGTATTTCTCGGGCGCAGCAGACGCGGAGATGGACAGATAGGGGAGTACCACAAGTACTTCACGCTATATATATATAACATTTGTACCATCGAAATTCGTGAAATTGTGGATCGTTGTTTATTTTGCTGTTGTTGTTGTCGTTTCGAAGGAAAAGTACTTTTTTTTTGTTGGAGTTTGTTGTTTCAATTATGGTTCGTTAACGGTTTCGCGCTTTTCGATTCTTGTCCGATAGTCTCTTGTTTGTTTTGGTCGACATCTCAATCGGTTCGTGTCTAGGAAAATCGGTTAATTATCGCGGAATGTCGCACAGGACGACGAGGAGGCTCTCCTCCTTGGCCAACATCGAGAGGTACAGGCCTGTAGCTACGGTGTCCTGGAGAGGTTTCGGCACCGACATCGTCCGTCGGTTTTCGGAAGTTGGAAGGACTGCCGTTGAGGTAACAATATTCACACTATATGTATATTTTTTCTTAAATCTGAAAATTTCAAGTGTCTTCAATACGTTTTGAGGATTGATTTTTTTTTCGTTGTTTGAATTGTTAATTTCAAATTTTCTTAATTAATTTATAGAAATAAAAAAAAATATGTATAAAAAGACTTACAGAAAATCAAAGCTGTTATAATGTAAGTAAACTTATTTTATTAGATAAATTTTGAAGAAATGCAATAAAATTAATAGAAAAATCGCCATATCTGAGTTATTAAATAACATTATGTAACAATTGTTGTATCAAAAGATGCGGAATTGATAAAATATCTAAAAAAGTTTTATAGATTTCGAGATAATTATACAAAATATTTTAGTTTTCGAAAAGTGTATTTTTTTAAATCGACATATCTCATTCATTAATATACTTTACGCAACATAAATCATATAGAAAGATGCGCAAAAGAAATACATTTCTTATGCAATCATAAAATATTAAAAAAAGTATGTTTTCGATTATATGAAGCGGTATCATGTTTGTTTTCGTTGTGTAAATGTGCTGAAACGCGTATTTCTCGGGCGCAGCAGACGCGGAGATGGACAGATAGGGGAGTACCACAAGTACTTCACGCTATATATATATAACATTTGTACCATCGAAATTCGTGAAATTGTGGATCGTTGTTTATTTTGCTGTTGTTGTTGTCGTTTCGAAGGAAAAGTACTTTTTTTTTGTTGGAGTTTGTTGTTTCAATTATGGTTCGTTAACGGTTTCGCGCTTTTCGATTCTTGTCCGATAGTCTCTTGTTTGTTTTGGTCGATATCTCAATCGGTTCGTGTCTAGGAAAATCGGTTAATTATCGCGGAATGTCGCACAGGACGACGAGGAGGCTCTCCTCCTTGGCCAACATCGAGAGGTACAGGCCTGTAGCTACGGTGTCCTGGAGAGGTTTCGGCACCGACATCGTCCGTCGGTTTTCGGAAGTTGGAAGGACTGCCGTTGAGGTAACAATATTCACACTATATGTATATTTTTTCTTAAATCTGAAAATTTCAAGTGTCTTAATTGTTAATTTAAAATTTTCTTAATTAATTACTAGAAATAAAAAAAAATATAAAAGAAGACTTACAGAAAATCAAAGCTGTTATAATGTAAGTAAACTTATTTTATTAGATAAATTTTGAAGAAATGCAATAAAATTATCGCCATATCTGAGTTATTAAATAACATTATGTAACAATTGTTGTATCAAAAGATGCGGAATTGAAGACTATTTTTGATGTGATGATAAAATATCTAAAAAAAGTTTTATAGATTTCGAGATAATTATACAAAATATTTTAGTTTTCGA